TATGTATGTCAGTGTATGTGTGTGTCAGTATATATCTGTCTGTCTGTATCAGCCATTACGTCTGTCTGTGTATATGTCAGTATGCCTGTGTGTATATGTCAGTATGCCTGTGTGTATATGTCAGTATGCCTGTGTGTGTGTGTCAATGTGTCTGTCAGTGTATGTGTCTATGTGTTTTAGTATATCTGTCAGTGTATGTGTTTGTGTGTGTGTCAGTATATCTGTTAATGTATGTGTCTGTGTATGTATGTCTGTGTGTGTGTCAGTATGTCTGCCAGTATATATTTGTGTGTAGTGACTTTGTGTGTCAGTATGTATCTGTGAATGTTTTAATGTCTGTCTGTGTGTGTATGTGCCAGTACGTCTGTCAGTGTGATTGCGGGTTGGACGTAATTGGGGGGTGAGGCAGTGGCAGGGACAGGGCCCATGGGGCCCAAGAAAATGCATTGCCCAGGGTCCTAATCATATTATAGACGGCCCTGCATACAAAGAATGTTCACTCTATAGATGTCTGTGGCGGGACCGCTTGCTGTCCTTGAATTGCCCTCTTCTATACTAAAAAATGGGGTTTCCCCTTGTATTCTGATTTTCCCCATGTATTTCTATGCCTTTCGTGTATTGTGCCTATATATGCAGCAGCTCTGTTAAGTAGAGTGAAAAAAAAAGTGAAATGAATTGCTATGTGCCCTTCCGCCTCCCTTTTCCTGTCATAGCAGGACGTCGCAAGAGAGACACTGCCAGCCCAGTTTAACCTAGATGCATTGTCTTTCCTCCCTCCCCCTTCAGCTTCTTGAGATTGAAACCCCTGTTGTTTTGTGTTGGAGACCCCATGTAGGGGTCTGTGTCTGTAAAGCCATGTGTGACAAAATAAACAGAGTCAGTCAGTGTTGTAACCACTGTAACCTCTAGGACTGTGTTCCGTCCAGTTACTGGAGGGAAAATGGATGCCTGCCTGAATTGAGTTATCTGCGTTCTATCCCAAATAACTGGAGTTTTTTTTAGTATCATTCCAATGGCCATTCAAGTGTAAGTTCACCTGCCACCTCAAAGCAAAACCTCTTAGATGAGTCCTACACTAACAATTCACCTCGCCGCTTTCAGCTAAAAGTAAAACATTTCCAATAAGAAAGTGGTATTTTGTGAACCCCCATAAACATATGAACCCCTAATAAGGCACACTTTGGGTGAGCAGCAGCACTGCAAAATGACTGTGTAAACAAATACAAACACACATAATAAGCTCTGCACTTAAAGTCTCACTACTCCAGGGCAGCAGCAATGGCTACAGTATTAATCAGCCCAAATCATAGAACAGAGTTACCTGCACTGTATCCCATATCCATAATAAAATAATACTACACAAAAGTATCAGAGTTATTTACTAAACACTAGATTTTATCCGGATGGACAAATTCCAATGAAAATGACCGAAATTCCAACCACATATTAAAGAACATTAGAATGTTAGGAATACAAACCTGCATTGCTAACACTACAGTTCCACTGTCCCTGCTTAGATATAGGTCCTCCCCGGTTTGCAAGTAAAACTATTAAAACAAAATGTTTACATGCCTTTTTCCAGCTCTAAAACTTTATCAAGGAGATATGATGGTCCAATCCAATGCTCTTCATAGAGGAGCATAGGGGACCTGATGTGCACGGAGAGCAGTTTCATGCATCCAAGCTTCATCATAGGAATGCATTGTATTCAGTGCTTTCCTATGGGCTTTCGCATCATGTAACAGTGCTTTCTGTGGTTCAGTGTATAAGAAGCACTTCTAGTGGCTGCCAGGAAAACAGCCACTAGAGGTGAATTTAAATCTGCAATGTAAACATTTTTTTAAAAAAATTGGAACCCTAATTATAATTATCATGGGGTGAACCTAGTGACCACCTCCTACAGCATGATCAAGGGGCCCAAAAGTTTGGAAGGTATTTAAGTTGTGCTGGTGTCCCGCTGTCCTTTGATTCGGCACTAAACCCCAATACATTGCAAACCAAAGGAGTTCAATCATTACTATTCTACAAATAAATATATATTAATAAATGGTAAAAATATATCTTGTACTGTATATTTCTCATATAAGGAGCTTTTATCACTGGAATCAGAATGGAAGCTACAGAAGCAGATCGAATTAGGAATTTTCATCAGGTTAATGCACAAGTATAAAATGTTTGGCATTCCTATTGCTATAAGAAGTATTTCCCATTTCCCATTTTACATGATCTCTTTTCATTTAGCTGTGACACATAAATAATTAGACATTTTGTTAATGTTCTCCCTGAAATGTGATGTGCAATGGTCTGTTAGAAAACATGACAAGATCAATTGTCCGATGGCTAAGGTGGTTGGTAGCGGGTTTTCCTCTGAATGGTTCCAATTGAAAAATGTGACTAGACAGGGGTGCCCACTATTGCCACTTTTGTATCTTATTGCCATAGAGCCACTAACAATAGCGATCAAGGCAAATTACCAAATTAAGGGACAGCTCATTTTAGACGACAGTGTCAAGTTAACAATGTACGCAGATGACATAATGCTTACTTTTAGTGACCCAATCAACTCCATGAGAGAACTTATTTCCCTTATGCATGAATTTTTAAAGCTATCATTCTATAAACTGAATTTAAAAAAATCGGTCGCACTTCCACTTAACCTGACTCAGAATATCGTCGAAGTGTTAAAAAAGGACTTTGGATTTACTGTTCGAGTATCATTTAACTGCCTATGGGTTGAGATTGCGAGGGATCCTTCCAAAATAATGGAACTTAATTTTTTGTCTTTACTAAAGGAAACCGTTAGAAAGTTAAGGAAATGGAGAAATACTGAGTGTAACGGATCACCTGGCACCCCGAATGGGTACCTCCGTTGAACGATGCTCCTAGCACTTCTTGAGGACTCCAAGCACTCTAGCCGACACCACAACCACCGCAGGCCGAACCTCTCTTCCTTCAGAGTGAAGCAGGAACAAGCTCTTGAAAGAGCGTAGGAGTGATTATAGCAAGGGAGTATGCCTAGCATAGCAATCCCTTGTAGCAGATCCCCCCAATAAGAGACGGCACTCCAAATTGAGGTTGAAGTAGAACTGAAGCTTTTAATCAAACACTCTGCTTTTATGTCCATTTTACAAACATAGTAACGCCCGCAGGGTTTTGAAGAACAACCCAATCAATACATTACAACACAGCTAAACACTCCCATTCATACCAGCAGAAATCCTCCCCTCTGCCTGTGATACAATTACTGAACACAACTGGCTAACGTAATTATCACAGGCAGGAAAATACACAGTTTTGCACAATATTTATAACAAACATTTTCAAAATCAGCATACTCCAAATACAAACGTGTCCAGTGGTTCAAAAGATAGATGGAAGACGTATTTGACCAACTGCAAGCATTGCTTGGGTGTGGTAAGCCAATTATCTCCAGCATACAGAAAATATCTCCATTTACAACAACAGCAAAAGCACACAAAAATACATAATTCCTATCATACTGAACAGAACCCCCACATTCACCTATCCCCAGATAGCTTGGATCTGAGTGCTCACTATATCCGAACAGCGCTCAGATCCCACAAACACAATCAAATCGCCATGGGGTTAAAGTTTAGCAACAAGTTCCAACTGGTCTGGCAGTGTCCCCGGGACAACGCCCTGCTGAAGAACAATAGACAGGAAACGGGGGATGGGCACACCTTCTCATGTATTCAAAGGGGCAGAAAAAGTGTTTCAAAATCCAATAAGTCCAAATAATGCTTACACAGAGCAAAGTCTCCCAGGGGCCATAGACAGAAGGCGGGCAAACAGGCTTCTCCAATGCCCAGTGGCAAGGTTGGTTCCACCACACTGAAATCTTATGGTGGGGGAGAATAAACACAGTGAAATCCTACAAACGTCCTAAGTGGATCTACTTGTTCTGTATGGTGCCTATAGCATGCTCAGACAGCTGGATACTACTAGTGCAGATGCTTATTAATAAGTTTATTTGGCAGGGGAAGCGGCCATGAATTAACGCTAATCATTTGGCCCTAAAAGTTAAAATGGGAATATTAGGACTACCCCTTCTAAAAGATTATTAGAAAGATTGCAACCTATCACACGCCCTTATAACCCAATCAGAAAATCCTAAAGAGCAAATGTTGTATAAAATCAAACAATCATTGATCCAGACTGTGCAGCATAAAAATGATCTGAGCATAGTTATTCTGGCAAGTTAGGAACAAACAGAGAGGCCCCCCACTGGTAAAACTTGATAGCATGATCCTTGAAAATATAACAAAACAACGGGGAAAATGCAAAAAAAAAAAAATATATTAATTCAAAATAAATTAATCCCATGCCTTCCCTTAAGATATCTCTTATATATATATCTTATATGGAGTATTTAAATTTACAAAAGTGGACAGAGGATGGCCTCTCTAAAAAAATGAAATCTAATGAACAATAACAATCTAAAATACTTCTATACACTGAACAATGAATATAATTTAGGTAGTAGGAAGTTTGAACTATTTGAGAGGGTTTCTTAAGTAAACGTAGTAGAAATTGACTAGGCCAAAGGTAGTGGTTATTCCAGACTTGAATATACCACCCTCCTAGTGGTCAGTCACACCTTTGAATGACACTCCAGTGGTGTCAAGGGGCATAACCCCAAAATGGAAGTACTAGAAAATGACTTTCCTGTTACTGGTCACTGAAACCAGAACCAGGACTGTCGGCTGGACAAAATATTAGTAAATAATAAATAATTAAATCAAAATTACCATCAATATGTCGGAATATAGAGAGGGTTCATACGTAGATTCAAGTGATTAAAATAGCCTAAATGTCTCTTCTCCTGTCTAAAGGACTCTTAGACGTAAAGAATCTATTTGAGACTCA